TATGTTGATTTTCTAATTTAATTTTCCAGAATGTAGGAGTGTTCAGTGATGCTTCCATGTGTTTTCTATAATAATCAAATATCTCATAATTATATATCACTTTTATTACATATATTGCATTTAAATTTTAAATACTTTATATATTATGTCTCTTTCTTTTTTTCTTTATTGAGACAGACTCTCACTTTGTTGCCCCCCATACAGTGCCTTGGTGTTACAGCTCACAACAACCTCAAACTCTTGGGCTCAAGCAATTTTCTTGCCTCAGCTTCAACAAGACCTCTAGAGGGCCGTGAGATCATTGTAATGGGCCACAAGAACTTCAAGCATTATCTGAAAACAGAATAAACAATATATGGTTATATAGTGTTATGACTAATGAAACACAAATTTGTTAGAAATTACAATTAGATTAATGGTTTCTTTTTGTTGTTATGTGTTTTCTAAATCAACAGATTAAAAAAAAGTATAATTATCATCACTTGGGAGAGCCCTGTTGCTTTTAAATGTTGGATAAAGGATGCCCCATCCTAACCTTGAAAAAGTTAGGAACCCATGCTTTTGAACTTGCTGAGGTTGCTGAGGTTTAATTATATTTGCTCTTAGAGTTCTACATATTTTACTGACATGCATGGTTTTCTTTTTTTCTTTTTGCTTTCTCTTTTTTACTTTTCTTTTCTTCTTCTTTTTTTTAAGACAGAGTCTCACTTTGTTGCCCTGAGTAGATCACCCTGGTGTCATAGGTCACAGCAACCTTAAATTCTTGATCTCAAGCAATTCTCTTGACTCAGCCTCCCAAATAGCTGAGACAAACAGGCACCCACCACAACACCCAGCTAGGGCTTTTTTCTATTTTAGTGGAGACAGGGTCTGACTCTTGCTCAGGCTCCTGAGCAAGAACTCAAACTCCTAAACTGAAGTAATTCACTGGCCTTGGCCTCCCAGAGCACTAGGATTATATGCATAAGCCGCTGAGCCAGGCCCACAGTTTCATGAATGTAAAATATGAGTATTAAAGCAGATCTACTGATGGGACTCTGATGAGAAATAGCTAATAAACAAAAAGAAACCCCATTTTTTCAAATGCAATGTTAATTTGGGGGCATTTAAATATAACCAGATTTAAAACATCACTATTCTTTTTATTTGATGTCTGTCTCAGTTCGTCACATCATTAGGAGCATTTATTTAGATTTAGAAGAACTAAATCTGCTTTGTCTTATTCTACATTGGAGTGTTTATATGCATTCAACATAAATACAGTTAGACAATTCAGGATCATAAAAAGATTAAGATACCCTTCACTTCCCTAGATTTCTCTCCTCTAAATCATTTAACCTTAACAATAGTTTTGTTAGCCTAAGTTCAATGCCAAGATTATGCTGACCTTTTTTTTTAAGCTCAGATGAGAAATAAGATATTTACCAATACCCTGAATTATTATTTTGTCATAAAGCACATACTGTAGAGTAGATATACTGCTCTGATATTTGTCACCATTCTACTTATGTGGCTTCTTTGATACCTGGGTTATCAGCTCAAATTATAATTTAAATCCTTTAGCTATGTTTAGCCCATTGGCAGTGGGTGAGATAGGAATTTAGAATTCAGAAACAGGTGGTTCAAGAGCATGGTAACTAGATATGAAGCATTTTACCTTTGTCATTGGTTTGAATCTGAACTTGATCACTGTTGGTGTTCTATACAAGATGTAAGTGATCTGATTTGCATCTGAAATGGACAGCACCGGTGTTAGAAAAACTCATCACTCTTGGCACTAATTAGCATTCTTGTCAGCCTTGGGATAGAAGCCAAGGACTGAATCAGTCTGGAAACCTGAACTGCTGTGTCTGAGTCATCAGTCTAGGTGGCCCATTCAGCCTTTGGCCTTTCCTTAGAGTTTACAGCTCAGCGCAACTAACTCTGTACACTTCCCTCTTTGTGACTTCACAAAGTAGACTAAGTTTATTTAAAAGATATTTGTTAATAATAATGGTGATAATAGTGGTTAACATTTATTGACTACTCACTGGGAAGTAGGCACTATTCTAAGAGTATTAACCCACTTGATTCTCACAGCATTCCTACAAGGTAGGTATTTTCCCCTTTTTTAGAGATGAGAACACTGAGACACAAAGAGATTAAATCACTTGCCAAGGTCTCTCCGGTAATAAGCGGTGGAGTTGGACTCCACCTCTAAATACAATTAATTACTCTTCGCTTAATTACAGGATTTATCTGATTTCTTCTTTTGCCATCTTACTATGAGGGTACATGTGGTGAAAATGAGATGGCGGAAGTCAAGCGAGAGCCAACATGACACAGCTGGTCTGGTCAGGTTAGGTCCCAAGTTACCTTTACCTCCTGTCTCTCATTGTTTTGTAAACTTTGCCCCCATCCTAAAGATGCCTATCTTGAGCTCAAGCAATTCTCTTCACGACTTAGAGGATTGATTTAGTAGATTAATTTTTGAATTGGAATGTTGTTTTGAGTCATGAGTTATACTGATTATTGTTGTTTAAGGTAAAGATTAACATGGTTTTTACTTTGAACTTTCATGTATAAAACTGTGATTTTGGAAATGGAAAAACAGAACAGTCTTGGAGAAGCTACTCTCATTGTTCTCCAGAATTGCTGGCCTTTTGACAAATAAAGTTTGATAGACATATTCTGGTCTCTGCATTTGGGCTGAAAGTAACAGGCAGCCAGACCCTCTTCATCTGGTAATATATATTTTTAATTCTATGATATATATTTTTAATTCTATGTCAAAAACAGCAATAGTCAAACTTTATATATAATATATATAAATGTCCCAACTTTAAAATCATGCATCTTCCCATACTAGTTTTTATTATTATTTGTTTCTAAAAGAGGTGCTGTATCTTTCTTTCTTCTCGTTTTTTTTTTTTTTTTTTTTTTTGAGACATAGTCTCACTTTGTCACCTTCAGTAGAGAGCTGTGGAGTCACAGCTCACAGCAACCTCAAACTCCTAGGCTCAAACAATCTTCTTGCCTTAGCCTCCTGAGTATCTAGGACTACAGGCACCAGCCACAACACCTGGCTAGTTTCAGAGACCAAGGTCTGACTCTTGCTCAGGCTGGTCTCAAATTGGTGAGCTCAAGCAGTCCACCTGCCACCGCCTCCAAGAATGCTAGGATTATAAGTTTAAGCCACCATGCCAGGCCATATTTTTCTTTTTATTTATTTATTTTATTTTGGTAACAAAGCTGAGAGAATTTTTTCTATTTATTTATTTATTTTTATAACGATGTATCTGAAATTTGATTTATGTGCATCATTATTCTGAGTTTAAGGTTGTTCTTAAAGATCTCAGTTTTATTTTATGATGGGTTTTATGCTCATCTATTTTTTTTTATTGTTTGAGTTAAATGTTACCTGAGCTTGCAAGCATTACTTGCCTTCCACTTTCTAAATTAATAAATTTAGAATCTAAATTAAACTGTGAGGATTAAATAAAATAAAACCCTCTCAACCACTTCATTCACAACACAAACTTAGTGAATGATCACCAAACAGGCAGTTCAGCTACTTCTCTTTGTTAACATAGGAACTGGATTCTTTCCACCTACTATTTATGCCAAATTAGAAAGCAGATATGAGATTTTTTTAAAATCTGGACCTCTATTTTAGGAAATTTCTCATAGTAGCTAAGGAAGAAGTTTTTAATATAATATATGACCTTTAAAATAAAGTTCATGCAGCCATCAGATCTGTTTCAATGAATCAAATAAATTAATCTGGTCCTCACAGTTTGCTTAAGATTTAGTAAAATGATACTTGCAGTGATTACTGCCTAGAGACACAAAATAACCTATAATCACTTTTTAATGTTTCTTTTAGTTGCCTGCTATAACCAATTACTCAAAGCTGTTGTAAGTCTCACTTGGCACAAATGTATTGCTCTCATTTTGCTAATAGATAAAGTTTGAGGTGTTCCTCAAAATAGCTCTCATTAGACTAATTTAATAATGTCAACTTGGAAATCTGGGTTTTACTGCTGATTCACATTGACATGTGCATGGCTGTTCTAATGCTTAATTTTTCTATGTACAAAATGATCATAAAAAAGAACAACTTCAAAGGAATTAGTGTTGTTTTGTTTTTGTTGCTATTGTTTTTATTAGCATGTAATAATCAATGTGTGATGTAAATAATCTTGAAACGATGAAATGGCTAAGTAGATCTCTACTTAAAAATATAGTAAGTATATGCTCTCTCATGCCTAATTTTACTGTATTTAGTAATTTGCAGATAGAGATGCACAGAGAATTGCTTATTATTTGATTGTTGCTTCAATTCCATTACGTTGTTTCTTTGACTAGCCAGAGATAATCTGGATTTCCAAGGCCTACAGAGCATTTTGGAAGAAGTCACTAGACAAACATAGTCCCATTATCACCAGACATTTCCTTTTTGTTACTCTGTATCTTCCAAAGTTTTCTCCAAATTGACTCATAAACACACTACTAATGAGTATGGATGCCTCTGAACAGTGGCATGATGTAGTAGAGAAGAGCTTGGGCTTTGGCGTTATGTAGACCTTAGGTGTGAATCACAGCTGTGAGTGGCTTTGTGCAATTTCTTCTCTGATCTTCAGTTTCCTCCTCCATAAAAACAGGATAATGACATAGCATACCTTGAATAATCTCAAAGATTCTTCCTGAGACTTCTTCAGATCTTTGAATTTGCAAAAACCACAGTAGCGTATAATTTTTTAGTTTCATCCTCCATACAGTGATAATGATGACCCATATTTCCTGGATGGTGGTATTAAATTGTGCACTAAATATGAACAACAAAGCTTAGTTGTTGTGGACACTGGACTAGGGTTAGCTAAGGTCACTCAGAGAGCTAAGTAATTCATTCTGGCTTATCTGCCTTTCAGGAAGTAAATCCAATTTGGAGTCAGTCACAAATAGTTGAAATATTTATTGAAATGAGAGAATATTATGTGTGTCTGTGTGTGCGTTTTTCCTATCAGGTAGGTAATGTGCTAAAGTCATAACAAAGTTTGAGGGAGGCACATCTCACACACATGGCAACGAACACTCAGTCATCACACTTATAAATTACAAAAGAATGGATATTATGTGTGTTGGTTTAAGTATACTCTTTATTTCTGTACAAATCATAAACTCAGTCTGTGGCTTGAGCTGGCATCCCAAAAACCAGGGTTTGAGGATGGACAGTGCTGCCTCCTCAGCTACAGAAATTAGGGCCATGAGGTATAAAACTCAAGAGAAGGCTGGGCACAGTGGCTCACACCTGTAATCCTAGCACTCTGGGAGGCCAAGGCAGGTAGATTGCTTGAGCACATGAGTTTGAGACCAGCCTAAGCAAGAGTGAGACCTCATCTTTACTAAAAATGAAAACCAGATGCACTGGATCACTTGAGCCCAAGAGTTTGAGGTTGCTGTAGGCTATGATGCCATGGCATTCTACCAAGGGCAACAAAGTGAGACTCTGTCTTACATAAATAAATAAATAAAATTTACACAGTGTTGTCAGGCTAGCACGCTGTCTGTGAATTGATGTATCCTCAGTTTACAATGTGATAAAATTTTGTGTTTAACTTCTCTATAACAATGCCTGCTTACTAACCCCTTTTGTGACATTATACTCTACATTTTGAATTAAAGCTCACTGTCTAGACTAGAAGATAAAAGGAAAGGAGGCCTAAGATATTCACACACGTAATAAAGTTGAACAAAGAGACTTTGTTTGGGCTATTTTTTATTTAACCCATTCTCAGTTGGAAATGAAGAGCAATTTGGAGATGATAAGAACAAATGAAAAAGCAAAACAAAAATATTTTGCAGACTTTCCTACATCAAGATATGCTGCCTTTATTTGATAGAAAGTTTACTAAATCAAGAAAACACCAAATAAGGCTGATGTGGTGGCTCACACATGTAATCCTAGAACTCTGGGAGACTGAGGCAGGTGGATTCCCTGAGCTCACAGGTTTGAGATCAGCCTGAGCAAGATCGAGACACACACCTCCACCCCATCTCTAAAAATAACCAGGCATTGTGGCGGGCAACCTGTAGTCCCAGCTACTTGGGAGACTGAGGCAAGAGAGTCACTTGAGCCCAAGAGTTTGAGGTTGCTGTGAGCTGTGACACCACAGCACTCCATTGGGGGTGACAAGTGAGACTCTGTCTCAAAAAAGAAAAAAAGGCTCGGCGCCTGTAGCTCAAGTGGCTAAGGCCCCAGCCATGTACACCCAAGGTGGCGGGTTCAAATCCAGCCCCGGGCCGCCAAACAACAATGACGGCTGCAACCAAAAAATAGCCGGGCATTGTGGCGGGTGCCTGTGGTCCCAGCTACTTGGGAGGCAGAGGCAGGAGACTTGCTTGAGCCCAGGAATTGGAGGTTGCTGTGAGCTGAGATGCCATGGCACTCTACCCAGGGGGATAGCTTGAGGCTCTTGTCTCAAAAGAAAAAAAAAGAAAACACCAAATAGATTCATATGCTAATAAAAATGTGAACTTGTTTAGAGATATAAAATATAAATTTCTTTTGAATTTCCCATGATTTATGTTCTCCAAGCTCTTTCTCTGTACCTTCCCTCCTTGGCAAAAGTTTGTCACATTCAATGTTTATTAATTTCATGAAAAATAATTTGTAATAAGATGACAACATCTCAGAAATGTGTATTAGCCATTACTATTTTGGCAATCAATTTTATTGAGTCTTTGTAAAAATAGCCCTAGACTTTAGTCATACGTAATTTTTCTATTCTGTTCCTATTTCTGTTAAATAAACACCAAAAGTCCATAAAACCAAAGTAAGGGCTTTAACAATGCCTTGTTCCCATCAATATATGTGAAAACCATGATGAATTTACTCCTTGGGGCGATTTCTGATTTTTGTACTAAGCTTAATCACCACTCTGTATGAGAAGGCAGTGGGGGCCAATGAAAAGAGAGTAAGTTCTAAAGTAAAAGCTGTGCATTTGAATCCACCCTCCCATGTAGCTTACTGGTTGGGTAACTTTGGGAAAGCTACACTTTTTTTTCTTAAATAGGCCATTTAAAGAACTTTAAGACTACCCTTCTTTAAGCCTTCATTTCCTCACAGTAACACACAGATAACAATAGGTCAAAAGGTTGTATGAGAAATTAAATGAGAGTAACTTAGGCTACTCTGCAGACCGGAGAACACTCATAAGAAGTGTTAGTTCCCCCCCCTTTTTTTTTCCCTTTATAGTATTGGTGTTAGTGTGATTACCTGGGTCAAAGAACTCTGAACTTTGTTTTCAGCTTTCTGTGAGGTCCATGCAGACCAAAAACTGAATCTGAGTGAAATCACCCAGAGCCTCACATATCAACATATTTTATACTAATGTTATAAAAAGAGAATATTCAAACTGTTATTTTCCTGCTCCTAACTTGCAAAACATTTATTGGCCCATGTTAATGTGTTCAGAACTAACACTAAAGCATTTACATTTAATTTCAAAAGAACAAAGCTCTTAAATCATTTCAGCTCAGTGACTGTGATAAACTGAAACCAAAAAAGTAGGGCTGTCCAAGCATTTCGACTGTTTCCCAACCTTTCAGTACTAATGCCAATAATGCTCCATTCTACATAACAATTCATGTTCCCAGATAACATACCACAGATAGAGTGTATCTGAAAGCATTTCCTTTTTTTTTTTTTTTTTGAGACAGAGTCTCACTTTGTCACCCTGGTAGAATGCCCTGTATCATTGCTCACAGCAATCTCAACCTCAAACTTCTGGGCTCAAGCCGTCCTCTTGCCTCAGCCTCCCAAGTACCTGGGACTACAGTCGCCCACCACAATGGCTGGCAATTTTTAGAGATGGGGTCTCATTCTTGCTCAGGGTGATCTCCAACTCCTGAGCTCAGTCAATCCACCCCCCTTGGCATCCCAGACTGCTAGGATTACCAGCTTGTGCCACCACACCCGGCCTGCTTTTTTCTTTTAAAACTGCTGCTTCTTTTTATTTGCTTAGTCATACAAAAGAATTTCAGGGTTGGTTTTGGTCAGAAAACTTATAAACTTGAAGTCCTTATCTGCTTACCTGGCTCTTGAAAAATAATTAAAATTAAAAAACAGTCCTTGTGCTCATTTTGGCAGTGCACATACTAAAATTAGAACAATGAGGAGAAGATTAGCATGTTTAAAATTTTATAAAAAGAATAAATAAATAAATAATCCTACATATATATTTTTTGGAATATTTACTAAGAGAGAAAATGTTTTCTATTGATTTTTATCCTGAATTTTTTCACAAATATGTTGGAAATGTAAAAATTTAAGTATTTGCGATGCTTCTGAGCAGAACTTAGGTTCAATTTTGGCTCTGTCAGTTATTTGTTGTGTGACCTTGGACAAGTTTGTAACATCTTTCTAAGCCCCATCTATAACAGTACTTACTGCATAGATTGTTAAGGGTATACATTAACAGATGCACACTGTACATAAAACACACAATGCCTAGGACGTAGCTAAGGAATACTAACTTATTTCTATGGAGATTACAGTATATTTATGTGCATGTTAATATAATCATTAAATTAATGTGTGAGAAGTAAGAATCAGCTGCATATCTTGATAAGTATACATATGATACTAATTGTTTCTGATTAATTCTTTTTTTTTCTTTTTTTTTTTGAGACCCAGGCTCACTATGTCACCCTGGGTAGAGTGCTATGACATCACAGCTCACAGCAACCTCTGACTCCAGGGCTTAAGCAATTCTCTTGCCGCAGCCTTCCAAGTAGCTGGGACTATAGGTGCCCGCCACAATGCTGGGCAATTTTTTGGTTGTAGCTGTCATTGTTGTTCAGTAGGCCTGGTCTGGGTTCAAACCCGCTAGCTCCCATATCTGAGGCTGGCTCCCTAACTGCTGACCTATAGACGCCGAGCCTTCTGATTTATTCTTTCAACTTAGTCACAGGATGCTCTTTTTAAAAGTTCTGAACAGATTTTCTTTTTGCAAATAATGGGTTTTTTTTTTAAATGTGAACTTTGATATGTTCTACAAAATTACAAGTAGGGGAAGCTTTATAATGTTTCAGTGGAAACCACAAAGTTAAGCTTTAATTCAAGTACTCTAAAATTGGGAAATCTATGAAGTATTATGGGAATTGATTATTTTTTCATATTTACTTTAACAAATGCACTGACCATAGTCTCAGTTTGGTACCAAATAAAGGTATCTACACATGTTATATGCATCCTGTGTATGAATACATTGGGTATTCCTGACACTTTATTCTTTAGAATTTCTTTTCATCTAGTCTAAAGAAAGCCTGTTTTCTTAGGCTGGTCGTTATCTACCCCCACTATCCCAAGTCTGGGCTAAGAACATCGTGCAGGCTGAGTTATTAAAGTTGATCTGAAAGAGCAATCTGTTCTAAACGACTGTCCCTGGATCTGCAACGGAACCCTGTAAATACCTTTCATTACTCTGGTGGGGTGTATCACATTTCCTTCTTGCTACTTTTGTGGCTGACACAAGTTAGGCAGTGAGATTTGGACTTTAGATGATCCTGGTTGATTGATATAGGAATGGCGCTTCTCCTGAGACAGGTAACCCCAAATTTACTGTGTACATGTTTTTCAACAGGTGTTCTGTTTAGTTTTTAAAAACATTTGTAGTCTTTACAACTAAATGTGTTTTGAACTTTAGAATAGTTTTTAAAATGTTTTTAGTTTTCCCAGGCAGGCATTCTCAAGACCAATTAGATGAAAAGTATCTTAAAGATTTCATTGTACTTTTTAATTATATTACATGATGGAGTTTGTTATAAGACCGTCTACAATTCACTACCCAGCTGTTGTTTTGGATGATACAAAACTTGTTTCTGATGTGAAAATTTTTCTCATTAAAAAAGGTTAGAACATACGTGTGTGCCTTTGTTGTTCAAAAAATAAGACATTTTGTTTTGCTTTTTTCTCTGCTACTGGAGGGGGATACCCCAATATAAATCTATGAACTTTAAGCAAAACTTATTGAAACTTTAGTGTATGAAAGCAATTTGTTTTAGAGAATTAGAGCCTGTAGCAACATAGAAAAAATATCAAATACGAAAATTTTATATGAATC